TGTTTTGATCAAGTTACTCAAACTAATTCTATTAACTTGCCCAACAAAAAGTAAGGGCCTATTTGATAGCGTTATTTTTCCATGGAAAATGGGAATTTTCCTCCCAAATGGTGTGTTTGATGGTCAAAAAATTTCATGGAATTAGTTTTCCAATTACCCCCACGTGATCTATTTTCTTGGTTCTTAAGGAATTCAATATACTTTGGTTTTGGTGGGAATTGAGTTTTCCAACTTTTTTATAATTTTTTTTTTTTGGAATGGAAACAAATTCTATCAATAGTTGTAACAAATTCTATTATTTTAATTGGCAATTTTTATGAAAAATAAAGTCAAATGAACACCAAAATATCCAAAATTTCAACATTTTTTAGATGAAAACTTATACCAATCAAATACATTTAATTGACAATTTCCAGTTAAACAAGTTCTAAACAATTCAATTTCCTAGAATTCGTTTTCTTTAATTCTTTCAATCCAAATTTCATTCTTGCAATTAAATGGATCCTAGATAAAATAGAGTGTAACATGACATAAGTACACCTGATTGATTGAAAAATTTTTTTGTATAAATCAACGACTTGATAACGAAAATATAAAGTTTCATAGCGCATGTTAAATTGGGACAAAAATTTGTTGGTCTCATAATTTATCCTTAGGAAATCAAATGGCTCCAAAAAATTGGAATTCATTTTACTAGTAAACCCCAAAATTGTGAGAAATAACGTGCAACACATTGTACCTACACCAAATCAATTATGGCGCTCTTGTTTGACTCTAGATGTAGTGGGCCTCTTTCTTTGAATGCTTGCTTGCTTTCTTCTAAATAAATGAAGAAGAAATTTAATTTTTTTGGTAAGACAATTAAAATATTAGATTTTCCATTTCAAGAGAACTTATAGTTCCATTACAATTTCCATTTGCGCTACATACTATTTCCCCATTACTATCATTGTAGTTTATATAACATCTTATCATTGGAAATGGAGACTCGAATAAATATTCCTAGTTCTTTTGAACATAAGAAGTAACCCGATTCACTGCATGCATGGATTGGTTCTATACTTTTCAATTTTCATTGATCCCATTGAACTCAAGACTTATCCTAATCAATGAATCTTAAACTAGGAAAAAGGAACATATTCCGAGTATAATTTTTAGAATTCATAAAGCTTTTGTTTGGTTTAACTAAAAAGTTAGTCAAAAAATTAAGTCAAAATCAACAATTAATTTTAAGCGTACACTTAATGGAACTAACAATTTTTAGCAACTGTTCAACTATATATTTTTATCAATTTTTATGAAAATCTACTAATAATCTTATTTTTAGCAAAATCAGACTTAGGCAAAGCTTTCTGTGCATTTTTGGAATGGTGAATGTAGGGTGAAGGTGGGGAGCGAGGGAGATGGATTCTCCACTCTTTTTAGGACGTCTTTTTCTATGTTAATATGAGGATTTTTTTTTTCAATAAATTTTTAATATTTTAATTTATCTTATGTTTTGATCAAGTTACTCAAACTAATTCTATTAACTTGCCCAACAAGAATTAAGGGCTTGTTTGATAGCCTTATTTTTTCATGGAAAATGGAAGCTTTCCACCCAAATGATGTGTTTGATGGCCAAAAAGTTTCATGGAATTGGTTTTCCAATTACCCCCACGTGATTCTATTTTCTTGGTTTTTAAGGAATTCAATATCCTTTGGTTTTGGTGGGAATTGAGTTTTCCAACTTTTTTTTTAAAAAAAAAATTAATTTTTTTTGGGCAATGGAAACAAATTTTATCAACAATTTTATAATACTATCTATTTAATTGGCAATTTTCATAAAAACAAAGCCAAACGAATATCAAAATATCCAAAATTTCAACATTTTTGAGATGAAAAATTATACTAATTAAACATATTTAATTGACAATTCCTAATAAAACAAGTTCTAAACAATTCAATTCCATGAAATTCGTTTTCTTTCCACTCAAATTTCATTCTTACAATCAAACGAATCCTAAATAAAATAGAGTGTAACATGGCATAAGTACACCTGATTGATTGAAAAAAATTTGTATAGATCAATGACTTGATAACAACAATATAAAGTTTTATAGCTCATGTAAAATTGGGATAAAAATTTGTTGGCCTCATAATTTATCCTTAGCAAATCAAATGGCTCCAAAAAAAATTGGAATTCATTTTACTAGTAAACCCCAAAATTGTGAGAAATAACGTGCAACACATTGTATCTACACCAAATCAATTATGGCGCTCTTGTTTGACTCTAGATGTAGTGGGCCTCTTTCTTTGAATGCTTGCTTGCTTTTAAATGAATGAAGAAGAAATTTAATTTTTTTGGTAAGACAATTATAATATTGGATTTTCCATTTCAATAGAACTTGTAGTTCCACTAAAATTTCCATTTGCGCTTAATACTATTTCCCCATTACTATCATTCTAGTTTATATAACATCTTATCTGGTAAGTGAAGATTATCTGTGTTGCTATTTTAAAATGAAAAAAAATACTATTTACAAGATAAAAAAATCATTGTTTATATTTTATTTTCAACAAACTTTCACCTCCATATTTATTTTATTCTTTTGATCTTTTCTATGAACCTTGACATATTAAGATTCATTCGGGTCTTGAAATATAAAATTTGGCGACATTAAGACACTTTTATTGTAATAATAAAACACCACGTTAAATTTTGCCATAAAAAAAATCTATTACTATGAAAGCATCTCTACAAATCTCTTTAAATGTAGATATTCTTTATGTTAGAGAGTCAGTCATTGAAATTAAGTTTCAAGAGACTCTCAAAGTTAACTTTCTAAAATAAAGATTGTGTTTGACTTTCTGAATTTGGTGAGTCAAATTTACTTTCTATTTCTACACTTAGGCTTGGACACAGTTTGGTTTGGATTGGTTTCTACACCAACTTGAAACCAAAATCAAATTAGTTGATTTGGATAAATTTCAACTCAAACCAATACATTCTAACTCTTAAAATGTTTGGTTTGGTTCAATTCGACTAGTCGGTTTGGACTTTTAATTCAAATTGATTTTTTAAAAATAAATTGTTCAAGTTTTGGGCAAAATTAGATTATAAGAACTAAAATAACTAAATGACTCTATATTACCAGAATTATTGACTAAAAAAAAAAAAATCATGTTATTAGAGACAAATCAATAGAAAACTTGAAGATTTTGTTGTTTTTTTATGCATTATGTAGTTCAACTGCTTGAGCAGAAAAAAGACTAAATATAACATAATGAGTTTGTGAAAGAAAATTTTAAGTACTATTACTTACCAGCAATATCATAAATTGGAGGAAATTGTGATATAGTTATGAGATTAGGGTTTGTCTTTTGATTTTTATTTTTCTTAGAAAAAAAGCTAAATATGTAAGTGGGTTGAATTAATTCTATTAACCATGGTTTAAGACTTCAAACGATGACCGAACCAACTCACAATAGTTTTATTTAAAAGAAAACCAAAGCAAACCAAACCAATTACCTATGTCAAATCGATCCAAACCGAACCAATTGTTTGATCGATTTTTCGATTTTTTTGCCCAAACCTATCTACATTATAATTATTGCTTAATAAATTACAAATTTTGATGCTCATCTTCTTAGGTTATTTAAATCATATATAATTTTATTGACTTTTTTTTCCCTCTTTTGGTTAAATTGAGAATGAGAAGAAAACAATAAATGAATGGTAAGAAAAGCAAAATAAAGAGCCCCCACCCCCACCCCTAAAAGGGGGGGGGGATTTGTTGGAGTATATAAGAAAATTACTCTTCAAATTTAAAGATGTTTCATATTATGAAAAATGCCCGTTCAAAAGTGAAGACTCTCTTGGATACTCTATGGATATAATGACTTTCTTTTATTTTTCACTTTGCTATCCTCTGTGCAAGTAATATAGAAATAAACTATGCACTGCATTAATAATTAATTAATGAAGCATATTAAATTCAACGTATAGATATTGATAAAAGAGATAAACATAATTTCAAAAAATTAGTACAATAACTATGTAGTGTTGAGAATATACAAAATCATCTTATTAGTCTAAAATTTTACGATCTCTTTACTTGTAAAAGTAAAAAATTATGCAATATACAAATATTGAGACTTGAATTCTTTTATGACAATCTAAAGATTATTCTTAAATAGAGTATCGCTAGGAAGAGGTTTTATGGTATATTGAACATAGAATGAACACATTATATTTTCTCTTTAATAATTACAATCTAGACAAAATAATACATAGTGTATAGCCGACATAGGAAGAATCGTAGCCTCAAGTGTTTTAGGAAACATGCTTGCGGAAGTGACCCCGCTTGCTTACTATTCACTCTTCGCCCAACTTTCCAACACGCTTACTGTAATAGAATTGGCTCGGCGCCGAATAGCCAACAGGACGGGACAAATTGCTTATTAAGCCAACAAGCGAGAAAAGGTGCTCATACAAGTGTAGCAAATTGAAAGAAGCGGAAGTAAACTTGGGTGAGGGACGTAGCTAATACATAGGACCCACCTCCGGCTACAAAATAGAGATTCTAAGCAATAAACAAATGTTATCTACATTATTTAATTATTGATTTAGCTAATTAACCTTCATTTACAGTAAAATTTGAATATGTGATACGACTTATATTAATAATTACCTGTTCACTTAATAATATCATTAAATAGTGATTAATGAAAATTCATTATAAGAAATTAAATCATAACCCCAAACGGCTGGCTAGTCTACGATAACATGCACCTGCGCCCTGAGCCCATACGTGGATGTAGTTTTCTTGTTCCAGTTATCATATAACTTTATTTCCCAATATCCATGAAATCTTTACTTGTTCACTTAAAAAACAACAATTAAGAAAATGTTAGGCCACCTAAGCTTAAAAAAAGTAAAAAATTACTTTATTCCAACACATGTTTGGCTTAAAAAAATAAAAAAAAAGTAAGTTATATTGATACTAACTTCGACCTCAATGTCAAAATAAGAAATTCATTTCTTTTTGTTTATTTTGGTTAACCTAACGTGCTTTAAGGGTTGAGTAGATGGATATCTTTTAGTTACTTTGTTGCTAAATCTATTGTACTTTAATCGTAAATTTCTAGTATGTTTAGTGTGTTGATCTCAACAAAAAAGAAGTTAGGATCTGGTCAATTATATTGTAGAGTATTACGTACCAAACATGATCATCATTATATTCTTGATATGACTCCACAATCGTTTTTTATAACTCTATTCGTGTTCGATTTGTTGAATTTCACAACGTTGTAGACACGATAAAAAGAAGGAAAATAATTTAAAGTCTCGTTACTTTGTATCTAGTCACGTTGCTTGTTATATTCTCTATCATGACTTTTTTCCCATTGAGAATATTGCTTTAGATTTTTATGGTCTTTAAATAAAACCATAGAGTTCAATATCACAAACAACAAACTGAAATTCTTAACAAAATTTTCATGGCTTCTTCTTCTTCTTCTTCTTCTTTTTTTCCTGATGTATATGCCTGGCTTGAAAACCTTCCACTAATCCCCCAATGGAAAGCAGATTCCATGTCCATGAATCTATGCCCATTTTCATCAATCCCTTCCTTGAAACTCTCAATTAAGAACAATAACTCATCACTCTCTCTCTATATGTGCAGATTATAATCTCCCTCTCTCTCTCTGGAGCTCTAAAACCTTTTCACCAAATCCCATATCAAAGAAACTTCTAGACGATCATGAAACAGTTTCATTTCTCTTCCATAATATCATCGAAAACGTTCTTTCGTACAGTCCAAACAGAAGTATTTCCTCTAATTTGCTTAGATTTCCAAGAAGTACTTACTCAGAAAATAATTTTAAAGATCTGTTTAATTTCTCATTTCTTAGCCTTACTTTTATTATTTGCATATACGAAGCTACTTCTGATCTTAGATCTTCATGTCTTTCAACCCTGAAAGATCAATCTGCATGCCCAAAATCAAGAGAAGTTTCCAAGAAATTGATGAGGATTTTGGGGTCTAACACAGAAGAACAGTGGATGCGTTCTATAAATCTTGCAATTACGAATTGGATTTTAGAATTACAAGGTGAAAATGCAGAGTGCCCAAGTAGTAACTGTAAAACTCCTTCTCCTTTGTTTTCGTATTCGTTTTCCACATACGGGTTGTGGAAAGTTCAGTTGTATTGTCCAGTCATATCTATGTTAGTTGAGAAGTCAAGTAGTCCTTCCCCAGATGAAAATTTGCTTTTCTCTCTTAACTATCACCAACTAGAGGGGGTGATCCAGTTTAATCATAAGGTGATCATTCAAGAAAAGTGGATTGAAGTCAGAGTAAACACAGATAACATCAGGTAAATTTACTTTGTTTTTTGAATTATTAATTCATAGCGTGCACGAAAAAGGACTTTATGAATGTTTGAATTTCTCGTTGATTTTCTACACGAATACTAGGAAACAAAGAGCTACAAACTTGTTTGATACAAAATATTGAGAGTTAGGACGTGAAACTAAGAACCCTCAAAATTTTGTTCAATATCGAGTAATCTCAATCGATGTTGTAGCTAGGTCTAGCCCTTGCGAGTTGATTCTTGAAAAAATATCCCGGTGTATCAATTATGAAAACATTCGAAGCAAGTCTTACAATATTATATTTTTATTAGTAAGAGTTGAAAATAAATAGGTTATTTATTTTGAAGGTAATCCTAGCCTCAAATTTACTTGATAGTAAGTTCAAATCTTAACCACACATGTAATGCACTCAACGCCTAATCTTGAAGATTTTCCTTTTTCTTTCTTTCTTTCTTTCTTTCTTTTTTTTTTTTTTTTTTAAATTCTTTCATTTGAATCAGGTGTGATGTTATGAAGCTGGTGACAGATAAATTCATGAAGGAGCGGGGTGCAGGAACATCTGAAAAACACTTTCCTTCAAGAATTGCATTGCAAATTACACCAACAATGCAGGCAAACATCATAAGCATATCAGTAAGCAAATCATCAGAGAATCCAACACGAGAAATCGGCACTGAAAAGTCGATCGAAGCGTCATTTGAACCTCCAAATCCACACATGGGGATCAACTTTACAGCAGCGGAAACCATGACAATAAGCCTAAAGCCATGGAAATTTGAGCAGTCTGTTCATGGAAACACTGCAATTTTGAATTGGTTTCTGCATGATAGTGTGAATGGAAGAGAGGTATTTTCTTCGAAGCCGTCGAAGTTCGCTTTGCTTCAACCCAAGGCATGGTTTAAGCATAGATATTCAAATGCTCATAGGCCATTTACAAGGCAAGGAGGAGTGGTTTTTGCTGGTGATGAGTATGGGGAGAGTGTGAGTTGGAAAGTGGATAAAGCTTGCATGGGGGAAAGTATGAAGTGGGAGATTAAGGGTTGGATTTGGTTAACTTATTGGCCTAATAAACATAGGACACTTTATACTGAAACTAGGAGGTTGGAATTTAGGGAAATAGTCTATCTTACACTAGTTTAGTTGATTGGATCGATCGTTCAAGGTTTTGGTTCCCACTTGAACTTAGTGAAAATAGTGGAATCACTTCTTTTGAGCTTGCAGTTTCGACCTCGTATCAAGAGTTTGATTTAAATTATTCGGGAAACTTGCACTTCTATCAATATTGTACCTAATTAAATCTTGCAGTTCAACAATATTGATTAAATAAATTTCTATTTTTCA